AATGGAAATCTGAAATTATTCCATTGGGAATAATTCAGTTAATGGCTAATTCTGAATTTCAAGCCTTAAATATTCGGGAGAGATTTGAGGTGTGAGATTCCTTTTTTAAATGGAAATCTGAAATTATTCCATTGGGATCTCCATCCCTGGAGGTGTCCAGGGAAAGCCTGGGTGCCAAGGTGGGGATCAAATTTGGATTCTCACCTTTGAGTGCTTTTTCCACCTCAAGAATTCCATAAATTCTGTGATTTTCGGGATGGAGCTGTCGCTTTGTGTGCTGCGATTTCTGAGGGGACAGAATTATTTGATCCCTAAAGCAGCACCAAACCTCAATCCCTGTTCATGTCATGAGGGGAAAATTTCTTCCTTTCCTTGTTTTCATGCCTGTTTTTGTGTTTTTTCCCGTTTTTCTGTGTTCCTGGCAGGTTTTATCCTGCTTGGTGCAGATCGCCTCCGTGCGCCGCTCCCTCTTCAACAACGCCGAGAGGGCCAAGTTCTTATCCCACCTGGTGGATGGGGTGAAACGGATACTGGAAAACCCCCAGGTGAGTATTCCAAGGAAAAATCAATCTGTGCATCCTTTCCAGCACATTTCATCCCAAATTATCCTTTTTTGTGGAAAAAAAATTCTTTTAAAAATTCCTTTTTCACGTCCCGCTTGGCAAAGCACGGCGTTGTGCTGCTCTTCCATTTTCCCGCCATTCCGTCACCAAGGAAGGTTCGTGGTGGATGTAAGAACAATTTCTCCATTGGAAGGGTGTTTAAGGACTGGAAGCATCCCTGGTAGTGCCCAAAAAACAGGAAAATTGGCAATTAGTGACCTGGTTTAATGGGTAGGGTGGGTTTTGGTGGGAGCTGGTTCTTGGAGCTCCCTCTGATTCTGTGATGATCCATCTGATCCTCTGGCATGGGGCAGCAGAGCTGCTCCTGTGGGAACCATTTCTCCATTGGAATGGTGTTTAAGGACTGGAAATATCCCTGGAAGTGCCCAAAAACCAGGAAAATTGGCAATTACTGACCTGGTTTAATGGGTAGGGTGGGTTTTGTTGGGAGCTTGGACTTGTTCTCCAGTTCCATGATGATCTGAGCCTCTGGTGGAGGACAGCAGAACTCATCCTGTAAGAACAATTCTCCATTGGAAGAGTATTTAAGGACTGGAAATATCCCTGGAAATGTCCAAAAACCAGGAAAATTGGCAATTGCTGACNCAGGAAAATTGGCAATTAGTGACCTGGTTTAATGGGCAGAGTGGGTTTTGGTGGGAGCTGGTTCTTGGAGCTCCCTCTGATTCTGTGATGATCCATCTGATCCTGTGGCATGGGGCAGCAGAGCTGCTCCTCTGGGAACAATTCTCCATTGGAAGAGTATTCAAGGACTGGAAACATCCCTGGAAATGCCCAAAAACCAGGAAAATTGGCAATTGCTGACTGGGCAGAGTGGGATTTGTTGGGAGCTTGGTTTTGTTCTCCAATTCCATGATGATTTGAACCTCTGGTGGAGGACAGCAGAACTCATCCTGTAAGAACAATTTCTCCATTGGAAGAGTGTTTAAGGACTGGAAATATCCTTGGAAATGCCCAAAAACAGGAAAATTGGCAATTGCTGACTGGGCAGAGTAGGATTTGTTGGGAGCTTGGTTTTGTTTTTGCAGCTCTCTCTGATTCCATGATAATCTGAGCCTCTGGCAGGGACAGCAGAGCTGCTCCTGTGGGGACAATTCTCCATTGGAAGGGTATCTAAGGACTGGAAGCATCCCTGGAAATGCCCAATAAACAGGAAAATTGGCAATTAGTGACTTGGTTTAATGGGCAGAGTGGGTTTTGTTGAGAGCTTGGACTTGTTCTCCAATTTCATGATGATCTGAGCCTCTGGTGGAGGACAGCAGAACTCATCCTGTAGGAACAATTCTCCATTGGAAGGGTGTTTAAGGACTGGAAACATCCCTGGAAATGCCCAAAAACCAGGAAAATTGGCAATTGCTGACCTGGTTTAATGGGCAGAGTGGGATTTGTTGGGAGCTTAGACTTGTTTTTGCGGCTCTCTCTGATTCCATGATGATCTGAGCCTCTGGTGGAGCACAGCAGAACTCATCCTTTAAGAACAATTCTCCATTGGAAGGGTGTTTAAGGACTGGAAACATCCCTGGAAATGCCCAATAAACAGGAAAATTGGCAATTAGTGACCTGGTTTAATGGGTAGAGTGGGTTTTGGTGGGAGCTTGTTCTTGGAGCTCCCTCTGATTCTGTGATGATCCATCTGATCCTGTGGCATGGGGCAGCAGAGCTGCTCCTGTGGGAACCATTTTTCCATTGGAAGACTGTTTAAGGACTGGAAATATCCCTGGAAATGCCCAAAAAATAGGAAAATTGGCAATTACTGACCTGGTTTAATGGGCAGGGTGGGATTTGTTGGGAGCTTGGACTTGTTCTCCAATTCCATGATAATCTGAGCCTCTGGCAGGGAACAGCAGAACTCATCCTGTGGGAACAATTCTCCATTGGAAGAGTGTTTAAGGGCTGGAAGCATCCCTGGAAATGCCCAAAAAATGGAAAATTGACAATTGCTGGCCTGGTTTAATGGGCAGAATGAGTTTTGCTGGGAGCTTGGACTTGTTCTCCAATTCCATGATGATCTGAACCTCTGGCAGGGAACAGCAGAACTCATCCTGTAAGAACAATTCTCCATTGGAAGGGTGTTTAAGGACTGGAAATATCCCTGGAAATGCCCAAAAACCAGGAAAATTGGCAATTACTGACCTGGTTTAATGGGCAGAATGAGTTTTGCTGGGAGCTTGGACTTGTTCTCCAATTTCATGATGATCTCAACCTCTGGTGGAGGACAGCAGAACTCATCCTGTAAGAACAATTCTCCATTGGAAGACTGTTTAAGGACTGGAAATATCCCTGGAAGTGCCCAAAAACCAGGAAAATTGGCAATTGCTGATTGGGCAGGGCAGGATTTGTTGGGAGCTTGGTTTTGTTTTTGCAGCTCTCTCTGATTCCATGAGGGTCCATGCCAGCCTCTGGCAGGGAACAGCAGAACTCATCCTGTGAGAACAATTCTCCATTGGAAGAGTGTTTAAGGACTGGAAACATCCCTGGAAATACCAAAAAACCAGGAAAATTGGCAATTAGTGACTTGGTTTAATGGGCAGGGCAGGATTTGTTGGGAGCTTGGTTTTGTTTTTGCGGCTCTCTCTGATTCCGTGATGATCTGAGCCTCTGGCAGGGAACAGCAGAACTCATCCTGTAAGAAAAATTTTCCATTGGAAGAGTGTTTAAGGACTGGAAGCATCCTTGGAAATGGCCAAAAACCAGGAAAATTGGCAATTGCTGACCTGGTTTAATGGGCAGAGTGGGTTTTGCTGGGAGCTTGGGCTTGTTCTCCAATTCCATGACGATCTGAACCTCTGGTGGAGGACAGCAGAGCTGCTCCTGTAGGAGCAATTTCTCAATTGGAAGAGTGTTTGAGGATTGGAATCATCCCTGGAAATGTCCAAAAACCAGGAAAATTGGCAATTGCTGACTGGGCAGAGTGGGATTTGTTGGGAGCTTGGTTTTGTTTTTGCAGCTCTCTCTGATTCTGTGATGATCCATCTGATCCTGTGGCATGGGGCAGCAGAGCTGCTCCTGTAGGAACAATTCTCCATTGGAAGAGTGTTTAAGGACTGGAAACATCCCTGGAAATGCCCAAAAACCAGGAAAATTGGCAATTGCTGACCTGGTTTAATGGGTAGGGTGGGTTTTGTTGGGAGCTTGGACTTGTTCTCCAATTCCATGATGATCTGAGCCTCTGGCAGGGAACAGCAGAACTCATCCTGTAAGAACAATTCTCCATTGGAAATGCCCAAAAACCAGGAAAATTGGCAATTAGTGACCTGGTTTAATGGGCAGAATGAGTTTTGCTGGGAGCTTGGACCTGTTCTCCAATTCCATGATGATCTGAGCCTCTGGCAGGGACAGCAGAGCTGCTGCTGTAGGAACAATTTCTCAATTGGAAGAGTGTTTGAGGATTGGAAACATCCCTGGAAATGCCCAAAAACCAGGAAAATTGGCAATTGCTGATTGGGCAGAGTGGGATTTGTTGGGAGCTTGGTTTTGTTTTTGCAGCTCTCTCTGATTCCATGAGGGTCCATGGCAGCCTCAGAGCTGCTCCTGAATCCCCCTCCTCTTTTTGTCCCCTCAGAGTTTATCAGACCCCAACAATTACCACGAGTTCTGCCGGCTGCTGGCCCGGTTGAAAAGCAATTACCAACTGGGAGAACTGGTGAAGGTGGAGAATTACCCCGAGGTGATCCGGCTCATCGCCAACTTCACCGTCACCAGCCTGCAGGTACAGCCCTTCCCTGGCCTCTGCATTCCCTGGAAAACAGGGAATTTTTACAGAAATCCTGCCTGGATCATCCTCTGAAATCCTGAATGGAATCCACGTGGGAAGGCAGAGTTGTTGCCATGCCTCCAGTGGCTTTTCCATATCATAGCAGGGAATAAAACAAAACGTGTTAAATAAGGTTTATTTTTAGGATTCTGTCTCACTTCACTGTTGCAATGCACTCAGGGGGATTGGGAGGAATTGGAATATCGTGGATATTTCCACTGAGCTGTCCAGCTCACAACCACAGCTCTGCACGGGAGAAGGTTTAAAAAAACAAATTCCTTTGTTTGTGGAATTGGAATTCCTGGGAAGCAGCTCAGGCTGTGCAGTGTGTGGGAGCTGGGGGAGGGCTGGGATTCAGCTGCATGTCCTGGGAATTTGGGATTATCTCCCAGTGTTTCCTCAGTTCTGGGAACAACTCTGGTCCACGTGTGTCCTGAAATTCCTGGTTCATTAGGCAACCAGGCAAGGTGCAACAAGCTGAGCTTTAAACCACTTCCAACCCAAATTCTGTGGGAAAAACTTAAATCAAACAGCACAAATCATGTGTTCCTGGCTTGTTTTCATTCCATTTTCCCTCTGGAAGCACTGGGAATTTTCTCCCAACAGTTTGCTCTGAAATTCTTGGTTAATTTGGCAACCAGGCAAGGTGCAACAAGCTGATCTTTAAACCACTTCCAACCCAAATTCTGTGGGAAAAACTCGAGTCAAACAACACAAATAATAACCCCCTTGCTTTGTTTTCCTTCTCTTTTCCATGTGGAAGCACTGGGAATTTGCTCTCAACAATGTGCTCTGAAATTCCTGATTAATTTGGCAACCAGGCCATTACAGGCCAATGGAAGGTGCAGCGAACTGAGCATTAAAAAACTTCCAGGACAAATTCTGTGGGAAAAACNCATCCTGTAAGAACAATTCTCCATTGGAAGAGTATTTAAGGACTGGAAATATCCCTGGAAATGTCCAAAAACCAGGAAAATTGGCAATTGCTGACCTGGTTTAATGGGCAGAGTGGGTTTTGCTGGGAGCTTGGGCTTGTTCTCTGATTCCATGATGATCTGAACCTCTGGTAGAGCACAGCAGAGCTGCTGCTGTAGGAGCAATTTCTCAATTGGAAGAGTATTTGAGGACTGGAAGCATCCCTGGAAATGCCCAAAAACCAGGAAAATTGGCAATTGCTGACTGGGCAGAGTGGGATTTGTTGGGAGCTTGGTTTTGTTTTTGCAGCTCTCTCTGATTCCATGAGGGTCCATGGCAGCCTCAGAGCTGCTCCTGAATCCCCCTCCTCTTTTTGTCCCCTCAGAGTTTATCAGACCCCAACAATTACCACGAGTTCTGCCGGCTGCTGGCCCGGTTGAAAAGCAATTACCAACTGGGAGAACTGGTGAAGGTGGAGAATTACCCCGAGGTGATCCGGCTCATCGCCAACTTCACCGTCACCAGCCTGCAGGTACAGCCCTTCCCTGGCCTCTGCATTCCCTGGAAAACAGGGAATTTTTACAGAAATCCTGCCTGGATCATCCTCTGAAATCCTGAATGGAATCCACGTGGGAAGGCAGAGTTGTTGCCATGCCTCCAGTGGCTTTTCCATATCATAGCAGGGAATAAAACAAAACGTGTTAAATAAGGTTTATTTTTAGGATTCTGTCTCACTTCACTGTTGCAATGCACTCAGGGGGATTGGGAGGAATTGGAATATCGTGGATATTTCCACTGAGCTGTCCAGCTCACAACCACAGCTCTGCACGGGAGAAGGTTTAAAAAAACAAATTCCTTTGTTTGTGGAATTGGAATTCCTGGGAAGCAGCTCAGGCTGTGCAGTGTGTGGGAGCTGGGGGAGGGCTGGGATTCAGCTGCATGTCCTGGGAATTTGGGATTATCTCCCAGTGTTTCCTCAGTTCTGGGAACAACTCTGGTCCATGTGTGTCCTGAAATTCCTGGTTCATTTGGCAACCAGGCAAGGTGCACCAAGCTGAGCTTTAAACCACTTCCAACCCAAATTCTGTGGGAAAAACTTAAATCAAACAGCACAAATCATGTGTTCCTGGCTTGTTTTCCTTCCATTTTCCCTCTGGAAGCACTGGGAATTTTCTCCCAACAGTTTGCTCTGAAATTCTTGGTTAATTTGGCAGGCAGGCAAGGTGCAACAAGCTGAGCTTTAAACACCTTCCAACCCAAATTCTGTGGGAAAAACTCGAGTCAAATAACACAAATCATAACCCCCTGCTTTGTTTTCCTTCTCTTTTCCCTGTGGAAGCACTGGGAATTTGCTCCTAACAATGTGCTCTGAAATTCCTAATTAATTTGGCAACCAGGCCATTACAGGCCAATGGAAGGTGCAGCGAACTGAGCATTAAAAAACGTCCAGGACAAATTCTGAGGGAGAAACTTGAATCAAACAGCACAAATCATAACTCCCTGGTTTATTTTCCTTCTTTTTTCCCTCTTGAAGCACTGGGAATTTTCTCCCAACAGTGTGCCCTGAAATTCCTGGTTAATTCAGCAACCAGGGCATTAAAGGCCAATGGAAGGTGCAGCGAGCTGAGCATTAAACACCTTCCAGCTGAAATTCTGTGGGAAAAACTCAAGTCAAACAACACAAATCATAGCTCCTTGCTTTGTTTTCCTTCCCTTTTCCCTGTGGAAGCACTGGGAGTTCACTCCCAACAGTTTGCTCTGAAGTTCCTGGTTAATTTTGCAACCAGTGGAAGGTGCAATGAGCTGAACTTGAAACCCCTTGCAACACAAATTCTGTGGGAAAAACTTGAATCAAACAACACAAATCATAACTCCCTGCTTTGTTTTCCTTCCCTTTTCCCTGTGGAAGCACTGGGAATTTTCTCCCAACAGTGTGCTCTGAAATTCCTGGTTAATTTGGCAACCAGGCCATTAAAGGCCAATGGAAGGTGCCGCGAGCTGAGCACTAAACACTTCCAGGACAAATTCTTTGGGAAAAACTCGAGTCAAACAGCACAAATCATAACTCCTTGCTTTGTTTTCCTTCTCTTTTCCTTTTGGAAGCACTGGGAATTTGCTCCCAACAATGTGCTCTGAAATTCCTGATTAATTTAGTAATGAGGCCAGTGGAAGGAACTGAGCTTTAAACACATTCCATCCCAAATTCTGAGGGAAAAATTTGAATCAATCAACACAAATCA